CAAAAAAAAAAAAAAAAAAAAAAGCGAAGAGGAAAAAAAAAAAAAAAAACCGAGCGTGTCCGAAAACGCCATGGGTTCTGCTGTAGGATCGCTCCTCTCCGTTGGGAAGATCCAAAAAGAAAAAAACCCCAGTTGCCCATCCTATATATTTCGCGTGTCTAAATTTCCCTGCAACCCATCACAATTTTTTTCTGGCCCGGAAAAAAAGCAAGTAAACACCCCTTGTAGATATGAACCGAATGAGAGTGGATGTACGTGAAGAAAATGAAAGAGAGAGAAAAACAATCGGGGGACACGTTGAAGCGATACATATCTCAAGCACCTTCTTGACAGGCGACAGCCATGGCAAGAGCGTCGAGACCATTACGAGGATTGGGGCTCGTAACATGTTGTGCCATCAAGGGCAAGTTGAGTCCTCTTAGATCCCAGGCACCCGTCGCGGGAGACGCTAGAGGGGTTGCGTGTGTGGGCGTCGGAGGTCCGTACTGTCCGTATTCCAGCGTCAAGTGATCGCGTGAGCGATGGCTCGAGGTCCGCGTGGAGATACCCAGCTTCCTCGCCGAACTTGACGATGAGCTCTTGCTGGGCCTTTGAGATCCCGATGCCCTGGACTTGTCCTTGTAATGCGTCTCAAGGTGCTGCTTCATGTTGTCCGCCCGGGTGAACTTCTTTTGGCAGCCGGGGAAAGTGCATTGGACGGCTTTTTCGGCCGTATGAATCTTGGAGTGGCGCGAGGCATGTCCGGACGTAGTGAATGTTTTCTCGCACCCGTGGCTGTCGCGGTAGCGGCAAGGGTACCGCTTTGCCGAACGTTCCGGGACGGCCGGGGTGAGAGGAGGCTCATCCTCGTACGAGGTAGAACGCGCAGACTCGGAAAAGGTGCTGTGCTTCCGGCCCACGTCGCCGTAATCGTCGAAACCGGAATGGCCCCCGGCGTACAGGTATTGTCGCGAGTAGTCGAAGGCGACGGTGGGAGTTAGCGGCGACATCGGGTCATTGCTTGGACTGGTGGTAGAATCGTATGAATCGGATCGCAGAAGCTCGGGCGTATGCGGCGAGGACGAGCTACTCCTGGAGGAGGAATACTGATGTGACAAGAGCTGACTGGAGGTGCGGTAGTGAGATCGATGAGAAGTCGACTCATAGTAAGAATCGTACACAGGCTCGTCGTTCAACAGCGACACGCGCCGTCCGGAGGCGTCGCGGGCGTGCATTGTGAGATTTGTATATATTGCTCAAAAAAAAGATGGGAGAAACCCGTTCGTGGAGAGGAATCTCTCTGTAAGAGCGAATGATGGATAGAGCAAGGAGAAAAACGTGAGCTCGTTATAAGCGAAAACTCGGGGGGTGTAGAAACGGAAAAGATGTTGCGACGTAATGGGTCGTGTTATCGTCAAGGGTATCGTTTCATTAACAAGCGTCGCAAGCCTGTCCGTCCTCCTGCTCAAGAATGGCCGTTGCCAGATCTAGCTGGTAACTTAAAATATAACCGCGCAATAAGCTGTTTCGGCGGAAGAAAAAAGGAAAAGCGCGCGTAGGGTCTAACTCCAAGATAGGCAGCAAATGGAGACGTCAGGCCAAGAATGCCACAACGAGCACAGTTGCAAAGTCGCGAAGCTAGGGGACAGACGTAAAAACTCGGAAAAAGGTATATATATCATGAGCAAGAAGCAAAAAGGGTTGGAGCGAGAACGTCGAGTGAACGAGCGAGTTGAAGAGGTTATATGAGGACTTGCTCTATACAGATTCTGAACTGGAGGGTGGAGAGCTTTTGCCTTGGAAGGGGTCAATGAAGCTCTATATATGGACCTTGCTGAACATGGGAAGCTTCGGTTTCGGGTGTGAGGGGGGGTGGGAAGAGGAACAAGAAGAGGTATTGGACAGGGGGGGCGTATTCTTTGGGTGTACCTCTATAAGATCGGACTCGAAGCCGGAAACAGATTAATGGGACCCTTGCCCCTGCAAGAGTGTGTGGATATCATATCGCCCGGCCTGTACTACGAAGTACTTCGTAGCCAGGCGTTCTGTACTTCTTCGTGCTGGCCTGGAAGCTGTGGAGTACAGGGCAGTATACCTCCTCGCACATGCTCTAACCACTGTATGCCTGAGTGCATGCTGGAGGTACCTGCCTACTCGATACGCAGTCAAGGGTAAAGTATTTGCGAGTACAGCACCTTCTGAGCCTGACTCTTGTAAACTCACAAGTTATTAGCACAGATTGATGCTCCGACGATGCTGCAGTATCAGGGAAAAAGCTGTCGTGTTCTATCAAGTCGGCTTGTTTGGTTAACTATGCAAGCTTCTTGCAGGGTGATG